CCAGAAAAATACGTGTTCAATTATTCTGATGTACCACCACTATCTCCAATTCAAAGGCAAATCTTAGCACTTGGACCTAAGTTTTGTGATGCAATGTCAAAAGTGAATGAACTGAACACGAAAGTGAAATTCGGGAATTTAATTGATCAGACGAAAGATCTGGTCCCAACCTCATATGACAATGCAGACCTTTTCAAATCAACCGTTTTAAATTACTGTCTCGATTACATCAACAAAAAAACCCAGCGTACGTACGTAACGTACTTTCCAAAGAACATCGAAAGCAGCTGAAAGTATTGATGTAGTAGTTTATCAGTATTAAGAACACAAGATATTCAGCGAAGAGACTCTTTTCAACAACGGATTTATTTTCTAAAGTTTGGTTTGTAAGGGTTTGTTATGTTTTTACCAGTTGATCACGGACTGATATCAGTTAGAGAACCATTGAAAACCAGCACTGGAGTACTGGACAGCTGCTGTTTCATCCTAGTTTGGGAATCATCGGCAGTACGCACCCACTGGGATTCGAACCCAGGACCTTCCGGTTACAAGGCAAGCTCGTATACCATTCAGCCATTGGGACCCGATTCAACGGCTCATGAATTCTAACTTCTACCAATTCGTGATTTAGCGCGACCCCAGCCATTGTCGTCGTTGGTGGGACATCCATCCACACACGTGACATCTAATTGGACCTCACTGGTCACGACTTCTCACTAGAACTCCAGGGAACTCCATCCTGTAGCAAGTCACTAGCGAGCATCAGATTAATTTTCTAAAGTTTGGTTTTCAAGGGTTTGTTATGTTCTAGTGAGAAGTCGTGACCAGTGAGGTCCAATTAGATGTCACGTGTGTGGATGGATGTCCCACCAACGACGACAATGGCTGGGGTCGCACTAAATCACGAATTGGTAGAAGTTAGAATTCATGAGCCGTTGAATCGGGTCCCAGTGGCTGAATGGTATACGAGCTTGCCTTGTAACCGGAAGGTCCTGGGTCCGAATCCCAGTGGGTGCGTACTGCCGATGATTCCCAAACTAGGATGAAACAGCAGCTGTCCAGTACTCCATCTGGTTTTCAATGGTTCTCTAACTGATATCAGTCCGTGATCAACTCGTAAAAACGAATTTATTATCAAGCTGTACAATCGTATATGTATATGGTTTTTCTTAAGAAATAATATCCGGTTAGGAAGGGAATTCGGTCAAGGGTGTGAATACATGAAATAATAATGGTAGTAGTAGTAGTAGTAGTAGTAGTAGTATGAAATGCAATTAAAATATTTGTGATTATAATCATAGTTAGATGTCAAGTGGCGAAACAATCAATGTCATATATAGAATAATACATAAGAAGGATGTATAGATGTTGGAAAGGGGTACATAATTATAAGATTAGGAGGCGAATATAAAATGTTACATAACATGGTGTGAAGCTTGATAAGATAGAATTCAATATTGTAAAAATAAAAAATATAGAAATTAATAATTTTGGGTTTAGAATGACAATTCAGAGTGAGAGTAGTAATAATAATAATAATAATAATAATAATCGTAGTAATAAGGGAAAAGTACATAGAGTAACTAAATAAACAAAATAAATAAATGTCTATCCCTCTACGGCCAAGGCAGAAGTAGGGATTGTACATACTTCTTTTGTACACAAAGACCCATCTGGCTTAAAGTCATGAATTGCCAAGGCCTCAGCTGTCTTTAGAAGTCTGTAACGAAGAAAACGCGGCCAGCAAGTTAGCATGGATTCTGTATATGATCTTAAAATCATGGTCAGAGTTGACAGAGTGATAGAAGTCAAGACAGGTGTTCCAGAATAGAGCTTCGCACACACTTCCTTTCTCCCTTGTAAAACCATGCTGGAATATGTTCTCGTATCCGTGTGGAAATCGTCCTCTGACTACGGCCAATGTACCTTGCTCCCCAAGAGCAGGTGAACTGACAGATGCACAGGGAGACGGCCAGACGGGGGAGTTAATCTTTTACAAGAGACAGAGAACAACTTGCGGGTGGTGAACATCATATGTAGTTTTGTTGCAAAAAACGTCTTACTGACTGCTTTAGAGAGACAACTTTTCAGCATATGTGAAGCTTGATCAAGCCTTTGAATTCCAAGTTCATGAATAAGGAAGGTTTTCTTTGGAACTGAGTCAGTGACCAGTTTCGACTGCTTATCTTATCTTTCATGTTGCTGTCAATAAATCGGTTAGGGTGGTAACCGTTTTCTGCCAGCGTGGTTTTCTTTTAAGAAGTCAAGTTCTGAGCCAAAAAAAAATGTTCAGGTACCACTAGACATGTGTGTACTAATGTTTTCCCCACACTACAGATGACTACACTGAGATATGATTGGTCAGGATTTATATAGAAGACACATGAGATGTATTCACTGTACTTGAATGCATAAAATAAGTATTTTAAACGCATAAAGGTGGTTTAAACTTCCTAACTGACAGCTGGGGCTAGCTTCCACAAACCTTAGCATACGCCCTCCCCCAAACACGCTTTTATAGATAGATAGGCCTTTAAAAGATATGTTAGTTAACGTCAATTTTATGTCCTGTCTCCTCTACAATATGTTTCGCAATAGAGGAGCTAGGTCTTCGTCTGTTCTCACCATTAATGGGTTCCGAAGATTCCATTTGTTTCTGGAGCCATTTAGGAATATACTCTGAAGACAGCCCTTCAGAGTCCTCCCTATGTATGTGTGTCCACATGTACATTCAAATTGGTAAATACAGTGAGAGGATGTGACATCATTTTTCGCATGTTCAAAAGGCTTAGATGGATGGATATATTAGCTTCACATTCTCAATTATTATGATATTAGATGCATGAAAAGTCTTTTAAACCATAACGGTGTTCCAACTTCGTCTAGTTATCAAACGGCTATGATGCCCCGCCCATATAGGGTAACTTGATGTACACGTCTTTCTTAGATTCGAGTTGTAGAGTGGGTCGGTTGACGATTATTTCCGCCATGTTGTACATTGAGAATGCATCAGAGGATTTAATCGAAAATGTGCCTGACACTTTATAGAAGGTGGTATGTGTGGATTATATTGTAAACATCATCATCAATGATCAGTGTCTTGTTCGGCAAACTCAATTTTTAAATCGAATGAATGAAGTTCAGAATAGTGTAAGCATATCACTTACATCTGTCTGTAGAAGAAGAAGATAATCGCTTATATCTTTCCTAGACACATATTGCTTAGTCGATGGACGGCTTGATGCGTCAAATAAAAAAAAGATCTATTTATAGAAAACTTGACATAAGTTTCTAGCACAATTTATTGCTCATAATCATATCAGGGTAATCACACGACTTCCTCAATTCATTTATATAGTTCCATTGTTTTTCACTTGATTTGATTGGTAGTTGTAGTGGTATTTTCCATATTTCGGGTATGAGTGATGAATCATTCCTATTGCATGTGTTGGGTGTAGACTGGATAAACAAGGCAGGATTCAGTAATAAACCTCTCTCCATTCCCACCTACCTAGATTACTTTTTAGAATTTTAACCCTCTCCCACCATGTTATTGTGTGGTTGTGTGCTAATGCATGCAGTGCAATGTAGTGCTGTAGTGTAGTGCTTTTTTAAAAATTGCTTATCTTCTCTGGTTCAACCATTCTAACCTTAGCTAAATTCTTATGTTGTGACAATCTGACTACACCTGACCTACTAGTTTGACGTATGTAGTTGACCTAACTCACAGTCATTGCAGGGTATTTTGTAAATTATATTATTTTGTCTAATTGGGTCAACCGACAGGGTTCTTTAACCTACAGAGCTTGTCCTACCTGAGTGCGTTTGTAGGTTTAAATGCCACCCTAATTCCTGCTTTATCAAGAATCCTATGTAGGGAGTGAGTGTCTCAGATGTCCCCTCCTTATATGGTATAACAGTGGATGACTTATATTCTCTCTTATTTATGTTATCATTATTAGTTTAACCATTGTTTTTATTTTGCTTTTCACCTTTACTGATCTTCCTAATAAATTTTATGGGATAGTTAGTTGTTTGACACCAACGCTTCTTCTGTCTGTTTTATTTCATCATTTGGGTCTTTACTTGTGCTACTTAGTGATACTGCTCGGTTTGTTAGTCACTTAAATTAACTAAGCCTGCCTCAACAGTTAACGGATGAGGTGATGAAATAAAGTCTAAATATCTATTAGCAGAATGCGTCGATTTTTTATAAAGGCTAGTGTGTAGTTATCCTTCTTTTATTCGTTTTATTTTACAATCTCTCACTGGATGCATTAACACACAACCACGTAATAGCATGGTGGGAGAGGGTTAACATTCTAAGAAGTAATCTATGTAGGTGGAGGGAGACGTTGATTACTGAATCCTGGCTGGTTCATCCAGTCTACACCCAACAAATACAATAGGAACGCCTCTCACTCATATCTGAAATATGGAAAATACTAACACTACCAATCAAATCAGGTGAAAATCAAGTGAAAAATAATGGAACTATATAAATGAATTTAGGAAGTCGTGTGATTACCTTGATATGATTATGAGCAGTAATAAATTGTGCTCGAAACGTAGTCATCAGTAAACATTACTGTATAACAACACTGTGAGACTTTATCAAGACAAAATTTACCCATAATGAAATTACACTCTACCACCACAGTGCACAAGTTTTATTCTTATATCAATTGACATAAGTATTTTACTCTTTTTCTTTTTTTCTGGTTGTTCAACAGGGGAACTGTCTTTCTATTGAAACTCTTCTGACACAAACTATGTTCGCTCGAGCCAAACAAATGTTACAGGTAATTATTATTATGATTATTATTATAACTTCTTTTTTCTTCTTGCTGAATTGGCTGTAATAAATGCAAAGTGAGTTAATTTTGTAACTCAATTTTGTTTTTACGAGTTGATCACGCACGGATTGATATCAATTAGAGAGAGAAGCATTGAAAACCTGCATTGCGGGGAGTACTAGACAGCCAGCTGTCTCATCAGCCTAGTTTGGGAATCATCATCGGCAGTACGCACCCACCACAGGGTGTTCGAAACCAGGCAAGCTGGCTCGTATACCATTCAGGCAATTACTGGGACCCGATTCAATGGCTCATTGAATTCTAACTTCTGGGTTCGAGCCCTCTGTGGTGGGTGCGTACTGTCGATGATTCCCAGACTAGGCTGATGAAATAGCTGTCCAGTTCTCCTTGTGGCTGGTTTTCAATTCTTCTCTAACTGATATCAATCCGTGATCAACTCGTAAAAGCAAAACATAACTAACCCTTACAAACCAAACTATGGAAAACTCAATCTGTCATGCTGAATATTGTAGCTGCTTCATACTATTATTTATTATTATTATTATCATTATTCCCTTGGGTTTCGTGTGGAACATAAGGCTGGCTTCAACAACAACACATCTCCACTCGCCTCTATTTTCTGCCATCCTCTTCAACCTGGATCCACAATTCTTCATAATCTCTTCCACGATCTCCTCCTCCACGTCACCCTCGTACTGACAACCCACTCATCGCCCCTACCATTTGTATTCCACTCGAGCGTTGGTGTGCATTACGCGTAACGTCATTCGACAGCCTCCTCAACGTATGTGTGATCCATCCTCTCCTACAATAAATTTGTTGTACGATCGGATCTTGGTTGGTTTTTTGTCAGTTAGAGTTTCTTGTTTACTTACTCTTTCTGGCCGGCCAGCCAGCCCCATTTGATCTTCAGTATGGAGCCAGCTAGCAAAGGTGTAGCCAATATTTTAGACGCAACTGGTACCTCTATGATTATCACATGAATTACGTCAACTGCTTTTTGAAGATAGGGACGATAATGGCTTCGTTCCACATGGATGGCACACTCTCAGTCTCCAATGCCTTCCTGAATAATCCAGTTAGAGCTATTACGAGAGTCTCGACACCATCTTTAAAAAGAGCCAGGGGTAGATTGTCTTCTGGGGCGGGTGCTTTATGGCGTTTTAACACTTGGAGTTCCTTACGAACTTCCGCTTCTGTTTGTGGGTCCGTACTAACCGGACAAGGAGCTACTAAACGTGGTGACCAACTAAACTGCCTCTCGAAGGGCTCTACCCAGCGTTCCAGACATCTTTTCAGGCTGGTAATTAGAGTGCCGTCTATCTCACAGTCCGTCTCGCTAACATGTTGTTTCTTGCTGCTGGTGGCTCTTATGAGCTGAAACAGCTTCTAACTGTTGCCAGATGCAGTAGCTGACTCCATCTCACACTCACGTTCTGCCCACCAGGCTTCGCGGTCCTTACGTAAACACTGTCTAATCTTGCGCGTCAGCGGAATGGACCGGTGTTCATCCAGGAGTTGCAAGGAACTCGCGGAAACCCTGTGGCTTTAGCGGAGCATTCTTTTAGGCCGCAAGCGGCTACACTCGCCATTTACATAGCACCTCGCAGATGAAGCCAATTTTCATATATACTCCTTGGGTGGTTGCTAGCAAGCATCAATTGTAACTCAGTTTCGTATTTCAAAGAGGTAGCAGGTGATACCAGTTCGCTCACACCAACATACAGATGACGCCGTTTATGAACCCCACCAAATCGCAAGACGAACCTGGCGCACACGAACGCGTGATCGGAGACCAGGCATGTGCTCCAGAAGGAGTGACAGCATTGTATGCATTCTCGCCACCGGAAACTGACAGCGATATAATCAATCTGTGTCCAAGCTTGACTGGCAGAGGGAGGTCAACAGGTAGCGCTCAGGCGATGAATGTGATGGAAGTTGGTGCTGACTAGAAATAGGTTGTGATCTGCGCAAAGCTGCAGAAGGCGATCCCTACTATCTAAACTGCAACCATGTAAACATTACTGACCACCTAGACGAGCCTCCTTTGAGCTTAGACGCCCGATCTGTGTATTCAAGTCCACAGCCAGCACTACGATATCTCTCCAACGCACCTGTTTTAAGAGATCGCTCAGTTGGTAGTAGAACTCAACCTCAATTGCATTTGGGCTGCAATTCTTCGGTGCATAGACAGAGACAACAAATAGGCACCGCATATCTGGCCCACCACTCCTTACTATCGTATAAGCTTCCGGCACAGATAAGCTGAGAATTCAGACAAAAGCGAAAGGCTAACAGAAGTGAAGACGCCAAGGATAGCAAAAGTAAAACACAAATAGGGTTAACGAGAAATGCATCACTTGAAATATCATTAATGCTCAAGAGTTTTGTAATCGGCATGCGAATAGTTTTACTGGCGGTTCGTTAGTTTATTCCAGTGATTGGATGAGGACTGAGATACTGCCCAGGCGTCTAGACCGAAGCAGGTGGTTGTCTTAAGGGACCACCCGTCGAGCCTTTGACTTGGAGTCTAATCCGCAAGGCAGCGGAGTAGCGTCAGTAGTTACGTTCTCATGATTGCCGGTAAGCAATACAGGTTCATACGCCATTTGGTCCAATTGGATTCTCGAGCCCATGTACCCCATGGTGGTAACTGGTTTTAGTCTAACCGCTATCCGAGCAACCTTCCTAACATGTTAGGCCCTGCAGGTACATCAGTCGCTCACAGTTTAGCTTGTTGGGTCACTGAGGTATTCAAGCCCCCCCGACCACCACGACAAGGCAGCAGTTGTCAGCAGTGATGACTTCTGTCCCGGAAGCTAGCCCATTTTTCTGCTTTAAAATTTGTGTAATTTTTTTATTCACATGCTTCTAGTGTAATAAGAGAGTGGGGTTGAAAATATAAGTAAGTAAGGGGTGGTGTAGACGTCATCAGTTGGTTATGTCTTAATAGGCCAAGGGATGGATAATGGCTGTACGAACTTCTTTTGAATGGAGGCATAGTTTAGGTTTACAAGTTGTTCGAATGCCTATCGCCTGCCTCAGCTGTGTGTGTACAGTAGACGAACGAATACGAAGTCTATTGGAAAGATTCGGTGGGATATGCGATGAATTACTTTGAAAGCTCTCGTTTTCTCCACTACATGGCCATTATCATCTAAATGTGACAAAATTGAGCTACGGATTGTTTTCGTTTGTCCTCTGCCAAACCATGATGATGGGAGATGTTCAGTAGTGACACGTCGGCTGGCTAAGCTGTCTAGTAGTGGTGTGCCCAACATAACTGTCACTGCAGGTGCAGTTGAATCGATAAATGCACATAGATGTGTGACGAAACTCTATCTAGCTTATCCTTCGTTTGCATCCCAATCATCCGTAGGTTAGAGAATGACAAACACATAGGTATGCTGCGTGAAACGTTCTCCGTATACTCCTGGAAAGTGTCTGGAATAAAATCTCACTTGACAGACAAGTCACCCTTAAATTGTAACTTGATAAATAGAGGTTTTTCTACGTGCAGTCAGGGTCTCAGGTTTTCTCTCTGATGTTTTCATATTGTGTTTTCTTATGAAACTACTCGGATAGCCAACCCATCTCCGTCAAGGAATCGTGAATATATATTCAAATTCTTTTTATATTTAATGGGCACGTAACTAAGAAAGGAAGTGTGTGTATATTGCCCTGTGAATGTGCTTTTCCTATACACACTTCTCCCAAGTGACCCATCTTCTCGCCTACTTACTTAGCAAGACATCCAGGAAATGTAGTTTACTATCCCACTCCTCCTCTTCACAAGTAAAAATAAGCGAAGGGTGAGTGTTGTTGTTTCATTGTCTGTGAATTATTCAGGTGTCAAAATTTGTTTAAATCTGTGACTCTTTTACATTTAAGTGGTAGTCATTTTTGAGTTTTTTTTTAATGAAAAATGAGATTTCCCTTCATTTCAACAAGCTGCAGGCAAGTTTATCACTGAAACCTGTTGCAAAACCGGTTAAATTGAATTTCTAGTGATTATTGACAATGTGTATTCCTTTTCAAAAATTTGAAACGGTTAGTCTCTTTTATAAATTTTGATAGCATTATTAGAACACGGAGATTATCTGAAAAACGATGTGATGTGATGTATTTGCGCTATACATTTCGAACAATCTGACCCCGCACACATTTACTTGTCAAGTCAATATATATTGAAAAGTTAAATTAAACAAAGTGGCAAAAAAGAATTAAGAATAATTAACACAAACGTTTGGTAATCCAATCAAATAAGGATTACCAAGGGAGGTAGGTTAAGAGTAATAACAAACTGTTTTTGAATACACAGGGGATGGGGGCTTAAGTTTATGAATGGCTATAGCCTCAGAGTATTTCAGCAAACGTCCTTGACCGTTTTTATAGATGACCTTAAAGGCTGAGTTAACATCAACCTTATGGTTCATCTCGATTAAATGTTTAGCTATAGACGAAGTTGGTAGTCTGGCACCTGCATCTATTGGCTTGTCACAATTCATCTGTTTTCCTAACCGCTTTGGGATATGCTCTCCCACCCTCACGTGCAACGCGCGATTACTCCTCCCTATGTATGTATGTCCACACACACACACACACACACACGAAAATTGGTAAATTGAGTGGGATGTGATATAATCACTTGTGCACTTTTGAGGTTTCCAGTGAAGCATATTTTTGGCCTTTTCGACAATTACAAGCTGGGCTGGATAGTAGGTTCTACGGATGATGGAATTCAACACCTTTGTCTCAAAATCCTACTATTTATTTCCCCATTATATGGTAATTTGATGAAAACCTTTTTCTTAGGGACGGTATGGATTGTAGGTTTCAAGGGGGCTAGTTGACTTCTACACCTGTTTAAAAATTTCAAAGGATATCCCCGTTTTCAACAAGAATATCCATCAATATTTCGTTTTCTCTGTCTATAACATCAGCTGAATCCTCTTGAATAGACACTTCACCAAGCCTCTCTTATATTGTAATGGACAGAAGCTGTGAAAATTAAAGTATTGCCCTGTCCAAGTGGGCTTTCTGTAGATAGACCGTCTTATTGAGCCATCGTCTCTTCGACTCAGAAGTATGTCTAAAAATGCAAGCTGGTTGCGACTTGACAAGTAAATGTGTGTGATCAGATTGTTGTTCGAAATGTATAGCGCATATACATCACATGTTTCAGATAATCTCCGTTTTCTAATAATGCTATCAAAATGTGTATTCCACATTTACTATATATATATATACATATTTTTCCCTTGCAGGATTTGAGACAAGAGTTACTTGTCCTCAGTCCGGGACCTATACGTTTAACTGACACACCATTATGCCTCTATGTACCAGTTTTATGGCCATGTGGATCACAAGAATCCTTACAAGTGCGTGTAGATCCTGTCCAGGGTTTTATATGCGCTTCTTTTCCACTTCTCACCTCACTTGACACGGAATTCGGTGCTATGAGTTCCCCAGTCAATGTTCCATCTAATTTTACGGGTATTTCTGAAAATTTTTCCCGTTCCAGTGCTATCAATGCACTCAGCTCATTGGAGTCGGCTTTCAATCAAGCCTCATCGAATCGTGTTCGTGTTGTCACCGCCTCAGGAGGTCTAGTTCAACCTTCTTCACATGAAAGTGATCGTATTTCGTCGATCCAATCAAGAAGTCTACGTAATCTAGCCCATGGTGATGTTCGTTGGCGTTCCATGATATCTGAGTCTCTGGAACATCTTCGACTGTGTTTAGGCTTGACGAGGTTAATGCAAACAGCCAAGATCCATCGACCATTTTGGCATCCATTTAAACGACATCTCCCATTGATTTTGTCTCCAGATCAAGTGGTCCAGGGAAAAACTCCCTGGTTTGAAATGTTGATCCGTATGCAACAATCATGTCGTTGGCCAATCCTCTTCGCTCAATTGTTTCCAAACAATGAATATTATATCGCCTGTGAAGTGATACTGGCTCCACTGAATGTTGAGTACAAGTATTATTTGATTGTTTGCCGTGCACTACCTGAGCACTATATGAGTATTACAACAAATTCGCAAGGGGTGCTTGTCTATAACCACAATGACGTAAGTTCCACAACTGTTGGGCAACATCCGAGTGAAACAGGATTATTTCTTCGAGTGACTCACTTTACACCACTTTCACCTGATATTGTCTGGTCAAATAATCCATCGATAACAGTAAGTTTCTGGTTTTTAAAAATTTACAAAAAAATCTTCATCAATCGTTTTATTCTTTGCTTTTTTTAAAAAGACAATTTATTTATTTATTGAGTCAGGAATTCATATGGAGAATGAAGCTGTCACTAGGTGGTGTGTCTAAATGGTTTAATTTTTATTATTATTATTGTTTCCTTGGGTTCCTGGTGGAACATAGGGCTTCAACTGCACGCCTCCACTTGCTTCTGTCTTCTGCTGTACTTTTCACTTGTATCCATGTTAATCCATACTGTTTCAACTCCTCTTCACACGATCTCCTCCATGTCACCCTTGGCCCTTCCACTACTCGCCGCATCCCTTTCGGGTTCCACTCGAGCGATGGCCTGACGCGCGATGTCACCCAGCTGCCTCCTCAGCGAGTGTCCAATCCATCTACACTTCTTTCTCCTGCACATTTGTTGAGCGATTGGTTCTTGTTTTGTTTGTTTGTTCCCATAGTTTCTTGTTGGTTCTTGTTCTTTCCGGCCATCTGATCTTCAGTATGATACTACAGAAGACAGTTGTTGTTGTTGATAAAGGTCTGCAACAGGCTGTTGGAAATATTCTTTGTGACCCGCCGCCAAGTTTCTCATCCGTACGTATAGAAGAACTGACTGACTTGACGTTTTTGTATTGAAAATCCGAATTTTGTTGTTGAGTGTTGTTGAGTGACGAAGATTTTCAGATTGGTTTCAGGTTGATGAATGTACTTCTCGTCTTTCCGATTCTCGATTTGACATCCTGGTCCGTTCCTCCCGTAGTTGATTGGCGCTGGATATCGCTGCTGTAGTTGTTGTTGTCGGTTGGTTATTTTCATAATCTCCGTCTTGTCTATGTTCACCTGTAGTCCTGTGTTTGCTGCTTCTTCGACCAGTTTGTCGGTTTCCCTTTGTATGTCTTCGATTTTGTGTGACATCGAACATGAATCATCCGCGAAATCCAGGTCTTTTTGGGTTCTTCACGTCGGTCCAGGATATCCCTGTCTTCTCGTTTCCCACTGTCGTCTGACGCATAATCCAGTCCACCACAATTAGGAATATCATTGGTGATAATAAGCACCCTTGTCTGACTCCTGTGTTTACTCCAAACGCCTCGCTGAGTTTTCCGTTGTGGATCAGTTGACATGTGCCGTTGTCGTACAGCTGTTGAATAATGGTTTAATTTAATGCCTAAAAATTATAATAATGCTAGTAGAATAGGATGGTACTATTAAAATACATAAACCAGGTTGCCCCATACGATCACTAGTAGACTTTAGGAATACACCCCCCTACTTGAGAATTATCAAAACATCGAAAACAACCATTGGTTGAGTCATGAAGAAAAAATAAAAGACAAATTCAGCCAGAGAAGGAAATCTTTCTTTATTGACGAAATCATCTTCACAGGCTGGTTTGGCTGTACAGTCGTATTTATACTTACCAAAAATATATATATGTAGTGGTCTATTGTTGAGTAATAGGGGGAGGGGGTGAAGTGACTTAATTGATATAATTACTCACTCGGAAGTGGCTTTAGAAGTAAAAGAAATTAAAAGTTGTAAATTATGTGGTACTCAACGGAACAAACATAGAAATTTGATAAGGAAGGTTAAAATCGCTATTGAGTGAGAGAGAATAAAGGTGGTAGTTGAGTGTCAATTTAACAAGTGTTTCAAGAGGGTGTGCAAATGCACAACAGAGAACATATGAGAGTGATACAATAGTGAATTAATTATTAAAGCAAAAGCAAACTGGAAAGTAAAATTGAAAATTACAAAAAAGAAAAGAAAAATATCAAAATTTTTTTTAACAGGGAACGATTAGTGAGAAGGTTAAGACCAAGGTAGAATAAGAGACTGGACAAACTTTTTGTCTGTATACAGAGTTCAGGGTTGTATTGACGAATTCCCTGCGCCTCCGCCATACACAAAAGCCGAAACCTAACGCCCTTTGTACCATTTGGCTTCACTTTGTAGATGAGCTTGAAAGACGACTCTGGTGGAGCTACGAGTTCACTAAATGCTCGAGAATTGACCTAGTGATTGCCTTGCATTGTTCCTTTGCTAACCAAGCCGGATAATGTCGATAATAATGTCGTCGATAAAGAAAATTTTCTTCGCTGAATCTGTCTTTTTTTATTATCGAAACAGGTAGCTCTAATAGTATGCCCCCATTAGGAATCATTCAAACTCCCGACTAACTAACTAATTCATATGAGATGAAAAATAAACTAAATGACATTCAACAACTAGAGAATGATGAAACAACGGTTAGTTTTGATATATATAACTAGTCTTTATACTAACATAACAATCGAAATGGGAGCCTCGGAAGCAGTTAAAAAAGAACTAACTGCAGATCCTGAACTCACTCACTCATAGGACAAAGCTGTCCATTGAAGAAGTTATTTTAGGAATTCAGTTATGCGCCACATTCACATCTACACTGTCTTTAAATTCCAAGGCAAAATTTATATAGACAAACAGAAGGTGTAGTAATGCGATGGATCACCAATATCCCCTATCGTAGCAGACATATTTATGGACAACTGGGAAAATATGGCTCTCAATACATTTACTTAATCCTACTCCAAGAATATGATGGAGATATGTGGATGACTGACACTTTCACTCACAGTGTTAAAAATAGAACAGATCTCTCTCTAGCTTCTTGACACAGACGCATAAACTCACTAGTAGAGGGAATAAAATTCACATTTGAATCGGAAAACGAACAAGCAGAATTGGCTGAGATGTTTGTTAGGTCGTAAAATAAAAGGAATAGAAGAAGAAGGTAGAGTGGACATCAGCGTTCATCCAAAAAAACCAACGCATTGTGCTAATAGATATTTAGATTTTAATTCATCTCATTCATCTATTAACTGTAAGACAGAGTTAGTTAAGTGTCTAACAAACCGAGCAGTAGCACTAAGCAGTACAAGAAAAGACCTAAATGATGAAATAAAACAGACAGAGGAAGAAGCGTTGGTGTCAAATAACTAACTATCCTATAAAATTCATTAGGAAGATCAGAAAAGGCCAAAATCAAAACAAAAATAATTGTGAAACTAGTAATGATAAGATAAATAAGAGAGAATATAAGTCATCCATTGTTATACCCTATAAGGAGGGAGGGGACCTCTGAGACACTCACTCCCTATGTAGGTTTCTGAATAAAGCAGGAATTAGGCTGGTGGTAGCATTCAAACCTACAAACTAACTCACTCAGGTAGGGCAAGCTCTGCAGGCTCTGTAAGACCCTGTCGGTTGACCCATTTAGAGAAAATAATATCATGTACAAAATACCTTGCAATGACTGTGAGTTAGGTCAACTACCTACATAGGTCATACTAGTAGGTCAGGGGTAGTCAGATTGTCAGAACATAAGAATTTAGCCAAGGTAAGAATGGTTGACCCCACCCGAGAAGATGAGTAATTTAGAAAAAAGCTCAGCAATTGCAATGCATGAATTAACACACAACCACACAAAGCATGTTGGGAGAGGGTTAATATTCTAAGAACTAATCTACGTAGGTGGAGATAGAGAGAGATTGATTACTGAATCCTGGCTGGTTCATCCAGTCTACACCCAACAAATGCAACAGAAATGACTCAGTGCAAATACCAGAAATACGGAAGACATTATTACCACCAGTCAGTCAAATCAGAGGAGGATAATAAATAATCCTGAATTGTATTCTATTTCAATTCAATTCACGTACATCATGATAACAGTCTAACAAGTTACTTATTTTGACTATAAAAGAAACACTCGTCTTATTTCCCATCTTATTACTGTAATTGATCAATAACACTCATATTATGATTTCTGAATGTACATTATCCTATATTACTGATTTGTATTCAAATGTCTAATCATCAATTCCACACATGTATGTAAATGAAGGAAAACGAAAGTTGTGTGAGTGAGTGAGTGACTTGATATGATTATGAGTGGGAATAATAAATTGTGCTGGAAACGTGGTCGCATCAGTTAATATTTCTGTATAACACTACACACACTGTGTGACAATTTATCAAAATAAAATCTTATCCAGAATGAATTTTTCAAAGACTCTGTTCATACTACTAAATGATTAAAGTTAGTAGCTAAATGCCACTTACATCATTAAATAGTGCTTGCTAGACGGCCAGGCTAAAGTTACCTAAGCAGTGGACAACAGTTGTACCATATGATAAACTCATCTCCAAACAAGTGAGATGGCCGGCCATCCAGTGTTTAGATCATGTCTGTCTGGTGCTGACTAGTACTTCGCCTACTCATATCATTTCATAAGTAGTAAATAACGCCGTGCTTGGAATGGCAGTCACCTCTCTATCTCACTCAACTTCATCGACTTTGAAAAGGCCTTCGATCGAGAGGTGATTTGGTAACTACTTCACTACTACCACAGGGTGCCACCGACAATTATACATCTCATCCAACAGCTAGTTGTACGACAATGCTGCATGCCGCCAAGTAATCCACAACGGGAAACTCACGGAATCCTTCGAAGATGAGGACAGGAGTAAGACAAGCTGGCTGGCTGCCTACTATCGCCAATGATTTTCCTGATTGCAGTAGACTGGATAATGCGACAAACAGCGGGCAATGAGGAAACAGGCATAAATGGACTTCGCCGATTATATATGTCTGATTTCCCACAAACTGGAAGATATGCAAGCGAAAAGCAACAAGTTGGCAAAAGAAGCATCAAAGATAGGACTTCAGGTGAACATGAAGAAAACAGAGGTGATGAAGATTCCTGGGCTACACCAACAGCAACAACAACAGACAACAATCAGCAAGCGTAAATGGGAGGAACCTGAAAGAAACAACCTCCTTCACCTACCCACCTACCTGGGAAGCATCGTTTCAACTAAAAGCGGAACTGACGAGGATATCAAAGCAAGGATCGGAAAAGAAGGCGTTCAGCGAAGAGACTCTTTTCGGCGATCGGAAAAGCAAGACAAGCTTTCACTACTCTCAAGTCTGTGTGGAGGTCAACAGCACTCAGCATGAAAAATAAGATCCGGATCTTCAACTCCAATGTGAAGTCAGTGCTACTATACGGATCAGAGACTTGCACTGCGCGTCATAAAGAGCATCTCAAACAAACTGCAGACCTTCATTAACAGTTGTCTTCGCTCAATACTCAAGATCAGATAGCCGGCCAGAAAAGATCAGCAACAGGTAAACTGGATTCTGGGAGATAGACAGTTTGTCATCTCCAGGAATGAACTGTGTAGATGTCGTTTTAGCACTACAAAAGTATCATCTACTTATATCTTGACCATATTTTTTAATACTTTGAATATATACCGAAGTATTAGCGTGTTAGCTAAACAGTTTTAAGCAACTTTTACAAATCACGTACTCAGTCTTAACATACCTTTCATAAATGAATTTTTTTCTATATTTCTGTATATATGAATGATCATAACAAGTTAGATAAATTAACTCATCATTGTGATGCCCTGTCTGTGATAGAGATACAGTGGTCGACGTTGCATGATAATTGGATAAATTAATTTTTTGAAAAAGGTGTGTAATTATAAGATTAGTAGACAAATCGAATAAATTAAAAACGTTACGTAATATTGTGTGAAATTTAATAGCATAGAATTTAACGTTGTATTAAAGAAGAATCGATTTTGAATGACAAGTGGAACAAGTGAAATAATACTGGGGACAGTTCAAAGTGAGAGTAGTAATATTAGTAACAATTGACGTAATAAGGAAGAGTATACAAATTAAATAGACAAAAATGAAAAAAATGGAATATTGGTAGAGGTAAAATATGATTGGGGATTACCATACTTTAGCATAGAGGGATTAAGACCATGAAAGTTGGAGGGGCTGGACGAACTTTTTCTGTATACAGAGATCTGGCTTCTCTGTTTCGATAGCCAAAGATGGCTTCAGCAATACAACAGATGAGTCGGGTACGTAGGGATTTGGGTAAATTACTCTTTGCCTTGTATATGGCTTTAAAAGCGGAGGCTATAGAGATAACTGGGTGATCATTATCGACCAGGTGTTCAATGATCGCGCTTCTTATTGCTCTACTTCCATCTCTTCGTAACTACATTGCAGGATAGTGTTCTAGCACTCTTTTGGACTAAACTCGAGTCGAACGACCGATATACCTAACTCCACACGAGCAGGTGAATCGATAAACACCCACATAGAGTTGGTCAACAGCGAGATCTTGTCCTTCAGGTTATTGAAAAGTAATGGTCGACTAGTAAAGGCTATTTATTCTCAGAGATGCAACAGGGAATGTTCTTTTCAGGGACTCTGATATCCTTCTTTTCATGATGATATCAGAAGCTAAGTCACCTTTGACTTCCAAGCTCATGTAAAGTATTTTCTTGGGTGTGGATGATAAGTCACGTTTTTTAGGATGTGATGGTATATTCTTATCTATAAAACGTGGTGGAAATCCATTTTCTATTAGGATTTTCCTCAAGATGTATAACTCATCATCCACAGTATCAAGGCTACATTTTCTTTTCCTTTCTTAATTTATTTTCATATTTTTTTTCTTCGATTTCAGTTGCAACGATTATGTGCTTGTATTCAGAAGGCTCAATCAAATATCGCCGGTGGACGTTCATCGCGTTTAACTGACCTGTTGAATCGAATTAAATTATCACATGCAATAGACGACACTGAGACAATTTCTGGTAGTAGTAGTAGTAGTAGTGGGAGTGTTATTGACCACCAGTCAACAACAACCAGATTGGATGAACCTCAAGCTATTGTTCCAACATTAGCTCATTTATTCTCAAGAATAGGCGAAAATTTAATCACTAGTTATCTGACAATGGAGGTAAGTTAGTTGGTTAGTTATACAATGAAATAATACAATGCGTTTTGTGTTGTGTACATTCAGTTGTTTTTCCTGATGATGTGTGTCTAATCTGTCTGTCTGTCTGTTTTCGACAAAGAACTTTGTACCAATGTGCAGCAGTTCAAGTCGCCACACTCCCTTCACTGACTATCGACCAAGGGGCGTGTGTACTGCTCAGCCAGCAGTCCGCTCCGTCCTCCTTTATGGCTGTGAGACCTGGCCATTGAGAGCAGAAGACATGAAAAGATTGTCTGTGTTCGATCATAGGTGTCTGCGTTCTATCTCCCGCGTGAAGTGGTATGATAAGGTGAGCAATATTGAGGTCAGGCGTCGAGTGCTAGGTAAGGCGGGGAAATCAATCGACGAATCTGTGAAATTACTTCGACTGAGATGGTTAGGACATGTGCTACGTATGCCTAGTCATCGCCTTCCTCGACAATGGGCAATGTTAGCTGATATAGGGCCAGGCTGGAAAAGAGCTAGCGGTGGTCAAACCAAAACATGGCACCAGTCAATGAAATCCACAACCGTTAGTTTAAGCCACGTAGGAAGGCGTAGACTTCCTGACTGGTTGGGGCCCTTGGTGACATGGCTCAAACTCGTTCTCAGTGGCGCAGATGCATCCACTTCTTGTGACTTATGATTTCCAATGAAACTGTTTTGTTCTTCGTTATTACTATTCCTTTGCCTCACACCTCTGTTTACTGTCTATATTATTATGCATTTCTCCTACTTTCTTCTCTTCCTTTGTGCGCTACATGGAGTGTGGCGACTTGAACTGCCGCACATATGTGCAAAGTTCTACGTCGAAAACCGACCGACTCCCTTCACTCCATGTAGCACACAAAACGCAAGAGAAGAAGGTAAAAATGAAGTGCATAATAGGGAGAGAGACAGTAAACACAGAGGTGTGGTGAGACAAAGGAATAGTAATAACGAAGAATACAATATAGTTTCATTGGAAATCATAAGTCACAAGGAGTGGATGCATCTGCGCTGTGTATTGAGAACGATCGCTTTGAGCCATATCATCACGAATTGTTTCCAGCCTTCATTGATTTTCACGCTCCCAAGGACCCCAACCAGTCAGGAAGCCAGTCTACACTTTCCTACGTGGCTGGCTGGCTGGCTTAAACTAACTGTTGTGGATTTATTCATTTACTGGTGAAGCCATGTTTTGGTTTGACTGCCTCTAGCTAGCTCTTTTCCAGCCTGACCAATCCTATGTCAGCTAACATTGCCCATTGTGGAGGAAGGCGATGACTAGGCCACGCATACGTAACACATGTCCTAACTATCTAAGTTGATGTAATTTCACAGGTTAATCAATTGATTGATTTCCCCTCCCACCTACCTAGAACTCGACCGATGCCCCACCTCAGTATTGCTCACCTTATTATACCACTTCACACGGGAACTGGAAAACTATAGCCCAAAGTATTCACATGCATGGCCAAATATGAACTTGTTCACTACGAGTGATATATAAAATATGACAATATAATATACATAGAATATTCTAGATTAGTAGTCAATAACAATATCAGTGTTTTTTTTGAATAATATCGATTTGTAAAGGAAGATCACAATTGGAATCACCACAGTTCATTAAAGATGCTTAAATAATAATAATAATAATATTAATAAAAATATAGTAGGAAATAGAATATCAACTAAAATTAGGAAAATTCCACAAAACTTCAGGATCGATCATTCAAACCTAGATGGCCAAGCTGGTAAGGATAATGTCTGAACCAACCAACTTCTTCTTTTGGATGCACAAATTAGGCTTGTTAATATGGATCCCAACACAGCCAGCCAGCCAGCCTCAGCAATATTTAGTAGTCGAACTGTTAAGGCGAAATTGAGATTTGTTAGTTGGTATTCGGTAAATGACCGTGAAAGCCGCCTTGTTAACATCAATCAGTCTTGTGTTGTGTATCCACAAGAAGATGATTGAGACAGAATAGAATAGCAGCGGTGAGAATAGATTTTGTTTGTCCTTTGCTTAACCAGAAAGAAGAGGATGAATTTATCGGAAGGGATTTTTTTGCTGGCTCAATTATTTTGTGTTTTTTTTTTTTAACAATTTTTGTAGTTTGACTAAGTTATTTAACTTTCAGTGTGTTTTAAAAACAATTTTTTGTCATGAAAGACCATATTCTTGGCATATTTTAAGAACAGGTGATTTTTATTCTTCTTCACATCAATATTTAGCTTTCGTGTGCAGGAATTGAACATACTGGGATACATTATGACGGGTCAGGCTGTTTACCTACAATCGGAATAACCAGGTCAGTCAGTTATCATACTTCCTGCATGTACATGTCTTACTTGGTAGATTATTTTTCAAAAGAATGGATGGATACTGAACAAAGAATATTCTTTTCGATAACGTCATCATCAGGCTCTACAGTTATATAAATCCTTCCATTATGGTGAATGAATTAGTGCTATGAACAACAACATTCATGTTGTTGCATTAGCGGTGCTTCGATGATGATTTCGTCAATTCTTCAATGTTAGCTGGCGGGCTTTGTGGCCAGCCGGTTTGCACCAGATGGTCCAATATCGAAATGTTCATGATGGTTTTCACTACACACCTTTACTTAGCCATAGTGGGAGATGTTCTCGAGCGAGCAGGAAAAGTAAAGTTCCTAGAGCAACAACGGCCAATATAACTCGCTCCACAAACACAAGCGCAGTTCAATTGATAAATACAATTTGAAGTGACCAGCTAGTCTAGGTACTTCATCTTTCAGTCGAGGAATCCCCATCGGTCGTGTAGAGAATAAGACGTGTAGTTCGCCGCCAGCATTAAAAGTTCTTTGAACTGATTTTCTTAATTTCTTCGTAATTATCTCACTTGGTATAACGATCGCCCTTGAATTGTAGTCGTATATAAAGTGGCTTCTTGTTCACGGACGGATAGTGAGTAGTCGTTTTCCGCCGCTTTCTTTGTCATGTGTTTCTTGATAGCTATTTGTCGGGATAGCTATTTTCGATCTATCAAAGTATCATATTCAATGCCTAATTCATCTTCAATTACTTCTTCTGAGCATATAGCTCTAACTAACTCTGTGGCCGAGTGAGGGTCTTTACTAAATTTCTTTTGTACTGGACAGAGGAACGAAGCTGTGAAAATGTGTGTATATTTTCCTTTAAATAAAGAAAAGTGTCTCATTGTTGAATTCTCAAAAGTGTTTTGGTATTATAATAATACTAACCGAAATCGTGTAGGAATTCGCATTTTATCAAGGAAAACGAGCACTCCAACATTAAATTTTGGATATGGATATTACCACTCAAAGAAAACTTTCAACTGATCGTTTTTTGGTGTTTGAGTATATATATTTTTTAAGCACACCACAGAATAATAATAATAATAATGGTTTTATCAATAATAAGGATGAAAAAGTGAGGCAATCTGTGATAACACGAATACTGATGAAAAACAGCATGAATAAACAAACAACTGTTCAAGTGGACGTGGTAGTCGATAGAGGCTAGTAAAAGCAAATGAACTGAATAAGTAATGTTAGACTGACTGTAAGGGAAGTAAATGAAACACGTTTTTAATGAAGCTGTGATAAGATTAAGGGATGATAAGAGAGTTGGGTTGAAAATATAAGTAAGTAAGGTGTGATGGTGTAGAAGTCATCAGTTGGTTATGTCTTAATAGGCCAACAAGGGAAGGGGGGATAATGGCCGTGTACGAACTTCTTTTGAATGGAGGCATGGTTAAGGTTTACAAGTTGTTCGAATGCCTATCGCCTGCCTCAGCTGTGTGTGTACAGTAGACGAACGAATACGAAGTCTATTGGAAAGATTCGGTGGGATATGCGATGAATTACTTTGAAAGCTCTCGTTTTCTCCACTACATGGCCATTATCATCTAAATGTGACAAAATTGAGCTACGGATTGTTTTCGTTTGTCCTCTGCCAAACCATGATGATGGGAGATGTTCAGTAGTGACACGTCGGCTGGCTAAGCTGTCTAGTAGTGGTGTGCCCAACATAACTGTCACTGCAGGTGCAGTTGAATCGATAAATGCACATAGATGTGTGACGAAACTCTATCTAGCTTATCCTTCGTTTGCATCCCAATCATCCGTAGGTTAGAGAATGACAAACACATAGGTATGCTGCGTGAAACGTTCTCCGTATACTCCTGGAAAGTGTCTGGAATAAAATCTCACTTGACAGACAAGTCACCATTAAATTGTAACTTGATAAATAGAGGTTTTTTTACGTGCAGTCAGGGTCTCAGGTTTTCTATCTGATGTTTTCATATTGTGTTTTCTTATGAAACTACTCGGATAGCCAACCCATCTCCGTCAAGGAATCGTGAATATATATTCAAATTCCTTTTGTAAGAGGTCATTCGTACATATCTTTCTTGCTCTGCTCACAAGACATTTAACAACATTTCTTTTATATCGAATGGGCACGTAACTAAGGAAGTGTGTGTATTGCCATGTGAATGTGCTTTTTCTAAACACGCTTTTCCCAAGTGACCCATCTTCTCGCCTACTTAGCAAGACATCCAGGAAATGTAGTCGCTATCCTGCTCCTCTTCGCAAGTGAAAGTAAGCGAAGGGTGGACGTTGTTGAATTTCAGCAACAATTCTTCTATGTTAACATTCCCATCAGCTAAGATAAATCCATGTATCATCAACATATCGGTAATACATATCAAGCTACTTGATGATGTCCTTCAATTTCCCGTTCTCAAGTTTACTTTCTGGCTTAAAATGGCTTTTAATATATGTGTAAACTTGGGCACTGTGGTAATGGTAGTAAGTAATTCCATATTAGTTTGTTTATTAGATGGATGTATCACACACAGTCAATGAGTGAGTGAAACAGTATTAGTATTTACTGGATGACAAAGTTGTTTCGAACACAATTCATCATTATTGCTGTTCATAATCATACACATCACCAATTATTATAATCACACGACTTCGAAACTTGAGTTTTATAGTCAGTCTTCTTTGTTCTCTCCTATTTGTCGTCGTCATTGGGGTAGTAGAATTCTCCAGATATCCGAGTGGACAGGTGTTGAATCATTCCTATAACACCTGCTGATTTGTAGTTGATTCGATAAACAAAGCTTCCGTTATCAATCTTCCCCACTCGACACATTGTTGATTGTATTAGATTTTAAAACTGTCATCCTATGCCATCCAGCCTATTTTATGGTTGTGTGTGTGTGTGTAATTGCATGTAGTGCTTGCGATAGCTGCTGAACTATTCTCCAGATTTCTTATCTTATTCGGGTCAACCGATGTAGATTTCGCTGCTGGATGTTTATGCTGCTCGGCTAGTCTGACTCACTGACTGGCCCTGTTCTGCTACTTTAACCTACTATGTATTTGATCTGACAATCATCTCACGCAGGGTATTAGATAAACTCAATTGTTTTGTCAGTTAAAGGCACCACAGGATTGATCCTTTAACCGATAAAGCTTGTTTCTAATTGAGTTTGTGGTTGGTTTGAATTCCAGCAGCCACTTTTATTCCTGTCTGCCTTGTTAAGAATTCTCCGCTGTAAGGTGGTTTCCGAGGTTCCTTACTTGTATGGAATTACTACTGTTGATTTAGATCCCTTATTGTTGGATTTGTCTTGCGTGTTTTTGACAAGCATATTATTATTATTATTATTATTACAACTATCATTATTTATGTTATTTTTACATTTCCTTACATACTTTCTGGCTAATTTATCACTGTCTCATCAACATATTTCGATTCCATTATCTGTTTCTCCTCTTTTTTTGTTTACAGCATACCCTTCAATCCGCCTAGTTGGTACCCGACAGGCATCGTCCCACTGATGAATTATGTTCATGAAATAATCCTGCGTCCATATTTCGATCCATTTACACATCGTCGTAGTTGGCAGTTGGACATATTGTTCACTGGGATTCAACCACACTTACACTTAGACTCCTCAATAAATGGAGCTAATCGGCGCAAATCTTCAAAATATTATATACGTCATCAAACAGCTGAATGGACTATTTCTAGGCTGCACCACTTTATTATCGTTGTGCATAATATACTCATAGAATGGGAAAGTTTATGTTTAATGCACGCTTTATGTTACCAAGTGGTTAATAATCCTGGTAAGTGCGCGCGATTAGACGCTTTCTTTCTTTGTGTTCAATTATTAATAATGGTGTAATTTTTTCTATATTTTTTAAAAATTGAATTTTAGATTTTCCCGTCCATTGATTGATTGATTAACTGGACCGAAGTGTGCTTGGTCTCAGGGGTTGACTTGTCTGTGTTGGCTTTTTTTGTGCGGATATGCTTCGACGACGATGTGTCTGGGCATTTAATTTAATTAGAATTTAATTGGTGTATGGTGACTAGCAGTCGTGGAATCCAGTCCAGGATAAGGCGCATTTCACCGGTCCTATTTGGGACTCGTCAGTTGGCTGGATGTACCTGCATTCCTCAGTGAATGATGATGCTCCCACCACGGAGGCTCGAACCCGGTGCTCACTTATTTGCGAAGTACCATCAGCCCCAACGTTAACGGGTTGATCTCTGAGGAAATCTCAGCTGGGTACGGACACATAGGGCTAGTTTCACATATGCCCGCCAGTTTACGCCGTCTCTGGCTTCGTAGACGTGATATCCGGCTGACTGGCTGTCGACCAAAGGGTGGGTGTACTGCTCAGCCAGCAGTCCGCTCCGTCCTCCTTTATGGCCGTGAGTGAGACCTGGCCATTGAGAGCAGAAGACGTGAAAAGATTAGCTGTCTTTGATCAGAGGTGCCTGCGTTCTATCTCCCGTGTGAAGGGATATAATAAGGTGAGCAATACTGAGGTGAGGTGTCGGTCGAGTGCTAGGTAGGTGGGAGGGGAAATCAATCGATGAGACTTTGAAGCTACATCGACTGAGATGGTTAGGACATATGTTATGCATGCATGCTTAGTCATCGCCTTCCTCGACAATGGGCAGTGTTAGCTGGCTGACATAGGATTGGTCAGGCTGGAAAAGAGCTAGCTAGCGGCGGTCAATGAAATCCACAACAGTTAGTTTAAGTCACGTAGGAAGGTGTAGACTGGCTTCTTGACTAGTTGGGGTCCTCGGGATGACGGTGAAAACCAATGAATGCTGGAAACAACTGTTGATGATATGGCTCAAAGTGATCGTTCTCAATAATGGCTGGCTGACGCAGATGCATCCACTCCTTGTGACTTATGATTTCCAATGAAACTATATTGTGTTCTTTGTTATTACTATTCCTTTGTCTCACCGCACCTCTGTTTACTGTCTCTCTATTATGCATTTTATTCTGCTTTCTTCTTTTCCTTTGTGTGCTACATGGAGGGAGTGTGGCGACTGGAGCTGGTGCACATCGATGCAAAGTGGTTCTATATCGAAAACAGACAGACACGATAGAATTTGTTACAGAGTTCTGATATGCATAAAAATACAACAACTACGTCGATTTATTTAACAAAATTGGATAGAAAGATATAACGATAATATTGAAATAGAGATGCCAACACAGTTACTACTTTTAGGATTGTACAAATTGTACAAATATGTCTACTTCTCACTCGGCGCCCAAATATTTTAGAACTATTCCGTCAAATCTTGACGAGTATTCAGTGCTGCTGAATTATACTGTGTCTTCACCCCCCACCCTCCCTATTTTGGTGTTTGGGAGTTAGAGATAAACTGCCTGACATCGCCTCTCTTATGTGTATCTACTAATTGAACTGATCCTATGGAGCCAGTGAGTTGTATAGGCCGCCGTACAATCAGGCGTCAGATTTCCCGATATAATCCCGACTAAGTAAATTATTATTATTATTAATACTGTTTCCTTTAATTCGCATAGGAACATAGGGCTTCAGCCAAACGTCTCCATTGCGTTCGGTTCTCTGCTAGAGTCTTCACGTGGCTCCATGTCTGCCCACACGTTTTCATCTCCTCTTCACATGACCTCCTCCAAGTCACCCTCGCTCTGACGACCAACTCGCCGCTTCCCTTTCGGGTTCCACTCGAGCGATGGCTTGTCTAGTGATGTCACTCACTTGATGGTTTCCTCAGAGTAGAGCCAGTCCATCTCCATTTCTTATTGCCTATCTGTTGCACAATCGGTTCCTGCTGGGTTGGTTCACTTATTGCCAGAGATCCCTGTTGCTGATCTTTTCTGGCCATCTGATCTTGAGTATTGAGCGAAGACAACTGTTAATGAAGGTCTGTAGTTTGTTTGAGATGCTCTTTATGACTCGCTATCCAAGTCTCTGATCCGTATGGTAGCACTGACTGACTTCACATTGGAGTTGAAAATCCGGATCTCATTTTCATTTTCATGCTGGGTGTTGAGTGTTGTTGACCTCCACACAGACTTGAGAGTAGAGAAAGCTTGTCCTGCTTTCTTGATCCTTGCTTTGATATCCGTCGGCCTGTAGTTGAAACAATGCTTTCCAGGTGAGTAGGTGAAGGAGGTTGTTTCTTTCAGGTTCCTTACATTTATACTGACTGTTGTTGTTGTTGTCGCTGTTGGTAGTGTTGCCCAGGAATCTTCACCATCTCTTTTTTCTTTATGTACACCTGAACTCCTTCCTATCTTTGATGCTTATTCTGCCAACTTGTTGCTTTTCGCTAGCATATCTTCCAGTTTGTGAGAAATCAGACATATATCATCGGCGAAGTCCAGATCCTTCAATTTTTTTGTGTGACTCTATTTTATGCCTGTTTCCGCATTGTCCGCTGTTTGTCGCATTATCCAATCTACTGCAATCATGAAAATCATTGGCGGTAGTAGACAGCCAGGCAGCCTTCCTTGTCTTACTTCCGTCTTTACTTCTTCCAAGGATTCCGTAAGTTTCCCGTTGTGGATTACTTGGCGGCATGCAGCATTGTCGTACAACTAGCTGTTGGATGAGATGTATAATTGTCGGTGGCATCCTGTGGTAGTAGCGAAGTAGTTGCCAAATCACCTCTTGACTGACGCTGCACTATCGAAGGCCTTTTCAAAGTCGATGAAGTTGAGTGAGATAGAGAGGTGACTGCCATTCCAAGCAAACTCTGTTCAATGATGATCCGTCATGTGGCGATCTGATCAATGCATGACTTGTTTCTCCTGAATCCAGCCAGCCTGTTCCGGTCGAAGTTTTTCATCCAGGTTGGCATGTTTGATTCTCTCCAGGATGTTGCGGCTTAGTATTTTTTCCTTGGGATGGACAGGAGCATAATTCCGCGCCAGTTCTTGCATTGACTAGGATTAAGTAAAGGACAAACTAAATCCATCCATTCATAGCTCTACTCTTTACCGCATTTCGTGGATATAAAGAACACACAATATATGATGTTCATGATGTTTTCAAAGTTATCCATGTATCGCTTACATCGACTAATCTTAACGTTACCTTAACAAATTGTCTAAATACCTATTGCTGAGACCTATTGGGATCCCCTCATTAAGAAAATCAAAGTTATAAATCCAAAAAAAGAAGCTAGTTCACACATTGTCCTTCCCTTGGTCATGAAAGGTTTCTTTAATGATCATCTTCAATTTGTTGTGGAAATTTCCTCTTAATTTTATTTGATATGTATCCTATTTGCTATTACATTCTTATGCTTATTATTATTATTATTATTATTATTATTATTATATAATTTATGCATCTTTCGTGAACTGCTGTCTGTAATTCCATGGATCTTACACTTAACGAATCGACAGTATTTATTAGTATTATAATTGTTATTATTATGATTACTGAAAACGCAAATTTGGTACATTGTAGGGGCACCAAAAGATGTGAGACGCACAAACTGTTTGTGAGAGATCTGGGGGATACTTGTCCAGGTACACTGAGAAGACATTGTAGTTTGTTATTTAAACTTGAATGAATGAATGTAATCCAGCTAACAGCACTGAGACAAATGGTGTGATTCGGTAAAACGGTAAAACACACACCGTGCTGATGTGTCGACCCTCAGCATCATCATCATTATTATTCTTTCTTCATTAGAATTCGCTTGTAGGCCGCGCCTCAAACGCTGACCATGTAACAACAGAAGACAAGGGCCAGTCAGGCAACAGATCGTTTATATTAAGGAAAATCAACACATATTTATAGATTTTCATGTACATTATTGTAGATTATTGTTAGTAGAAAATACAGTCTTTTGATTGGTGGTTGTACTCACAGAAAGTTAACCTTGCATCTCTTTGTGGCTGTGTCAGATCATCCATATGCTAACTGTATCCGCCTACGCGAAGCCTTTGTTCTCTCTCATCTTTTCACCACCAATATTGGGGACATAAACATTGACGTCAATTACTGTCGTCTACCAACATTGGCTAGCAGCCAGCTCTCGCCACAACCATACACACCTGTGAGAATACTCACTCATACGGGATGATAGACATTAAATGGAAGCTGATTAAACACCACCTATGAGTGTAGAAAGCTGAGAGAGAGAGAGAGACATTTAGAAACACAAGAACCACCACCACCACCAACCCTGAAATAATAAGTAATTTCAACAGCAGCGAAAAAAGGAAAAAACAGACATGATAAACGGCCACATAATTGAATAATGCACACTGAGATTTCCATTATGGGTAAATTTTGTTTTGATAAAGTCTCACAGTGTTGTTATACAGTGTTGTTTACTGATGACGTATCGAGCACAATTTATTACTGCTCATAATCATATCAAGGTATTAAACCTAAAAACTCACTCAGCTAGGACAAGCTCTGTAGGTTAAAGAACCCTGTCGGTTGACCCAATTAGACAAAATAATATAATTTACAAAATACCCTGCAATGACTGTGAGTTAGGTCAACTACATACGCCAAACTAGTAGGTCAGGTGCGGTCAGATTGTCACAACATAAGAATTTAGCCAAGGTAAGAATGGTTGACCCCGAGAAGATAAGTAAGCTCAGCAATTGCAATGCGTGCATTAACACACAACCGCACAACAGCATGGTGGGAGACGGTTAAAGTTCTAAAAAGTTATCTAGGTAGGTGGGAATGGAGAGAGGTTGATTACTGAATCCTGCCTTGTTTATCCAGTCTACACCCAACACATGCAATAGAAATGATTCATCACTCATTCCCGAAATATGGAAAATATTACTACCAAT